GATAAGGTCACACTTGAACCTAACAGAATTTGTATGTTTGTCAAAATATGAAATCAATAAATATGTAAAATTTTAGACACCAGTTAAATAAAAAAAGGAAATCCATTGGTACACATTCAAACCATTGCTACTTTTTTATTTTATTTTATTTTATTTTTTTTTTATTTTTTATTTATTTATTTATTTTTTTTTGGTTATTCGAGACAGGGTTTCTCTGTGTAGCTTTGCGCCTTTCCTGGAGCTCACTTGGTAGCCCAGGCTAGCCTCGAACTCACAGAGATCCGCCTGGCTCTGCCTCCCGAGTGCTGGGATTAAAGGCGTGCGCCACCACCGCCCGGCCACTTTTTTATATTTTTACTAGTAGAGCTTAAATTAAGTTGATTTCTTACTAATTGTGGTAGCTTGAATATAATTGGATCTCATATTCTCATAGGGGGTGGCACTGTTAGGAGGTATGGCTTTGTTGGAGTGGGCATGGCCTTGTTAGAGGACCTGTGTCACTTTGGGGGCAGACTTTGGGGTTTCCTATGCTCAGGATACCACCCTGTAAGTCAGTCGACTTCCTGTTGCCTGCAAGCTGTAGCACTCTCAGCTCTGGCACCGCACCTGTCCACTGCTGGTTTGTCTCTGTTGGATGAATGCTTTGTTCCTTGGTTTCTGCTTTTTCCCTGGACTTTCAGGGAGTACAGTGGCTGTGTGTTGTCTGGTAGGAAATTGTCTGTGTCCTGCTCAGCTGGTGTTTTCTCAGGTTATGCCTGCCAGTGTTGGAAGCTAGGATAATGGGATGAGTTGGAGGAGATCTTTGTGATCCATTGGGAATGGGATGGGAGAGGAAAGGGAGACCACAGATGACAGAGGTGGGCATGAGACTGGGGAAATTTAGATCTGGAGAGGCAGAAGTAGAGGTGTGGACCTGCCACCCAGCCCACTTCACATTTAACTAATAACATCTTCTACATGTTTATTTTCCTGACAGTCTTTCTGTGGTACTTGGAGGTTTGGTCTAGACTAATGAATCCTCTGTGTGCTGATGGTCAACCTAGGTGTCTATTCATCCAAGTGTATCTCAGGGAGCACATATGAGGAAGGAGTCTAACACCAGCCCTGGAGCCTTCCTGCTTTCCTGGTTTATAGGAGACAAAAATCAGGCTAATTTGAGGAGGCTTGGAGTTTGTTGTATGTCTGTCCCTTTAGTGTTAGAGGTGGTGTCGGCTGCAGCTCCCTTCACATCTCTGTGATTTGAGGAGGCTCATCTTTCCCTCCTTGTAGCACAGTGCAGAGTATCTGTTACTGAGAAGTGGAGGTTTCATGGGTAGAGTAACCCTGCAAAGAGCAAAAGCCATGGTCCTGGGTTCTAAGTCAATGGGCTGGTGGTCTCTTTGAAAA